TATATTTTATCATCAGATTATTTTTATTATCTACGTTCTATCCCAACATTTTTTAACAATTTTTTTTAAATAGGGAAAAGTTATTCTACGTTACAAATACAAGAATGTGAAAAGCAGAAATATATAGAAACGGAAATTATTAATGAAAAAAAAGCTATAAATAAAGGTAAATATTTTGCAGTCTTTCTTACATTTCATTGTTGACATTTATTATGTTTCACATTCTTTAATTTATGTTATTGTTTTATGTTTTTTATTTTTTAGGAGAAAATGCGCCAGAAGAAACGGTAAATCGAATATTGGATATGTTGTTGGTCATGAATCGAAAATTAGATTCAATGTTGGCCTTTCATGATGAGCAAAATCCTTCAACATCAGCAAATTGCTCTTTTGATTTGTTACCTCATATACCGTTAAATTCTATGGAAGATTTCAAAAAATTTTGTAATGATTTAAATGAGAATGAAGAATTACGAAAGCAATTTGTAAGTTTAAAATTATTTTTATTAAAAATAGGAAGAAACACATCACTTTCAGTAATATTTTGTATTCAATATTATAGCAGAGAAAAATCCGTAACATAGGTGGAAAATCAGCAGAAAATCATTTGATTAATTGTTTAGTTACGACTCTTACCAACGAACATGCCAAACAATTAACATGGGAAGGTCAACGTCACACAGAGGGTATTAAAAACACAGCTTTTGCGAATATTATCATGGGTAAATGTATGAAGATAAAATTTGTTTAGCATAAACTAATTTTTGAAATATATTTGTCTTATAATAATAATAAATATTACTGAATATAATAAAAATTCTTTTTAGGTACCATTTCAAACATGTACAATTCATCAAATTACTATAGTCTAAAGAATAAATTCTCGGAATGGTTAAGAAGAGCAGGAGATAGATATCGATACCAATTAAAAAAATTAGAACATACATTGCTTTCATGAATGGAATGAAGGTATGAGACAAGATATTGCAGATATAAAAGAAACATTACTTAACACAATTTTGTGCTACTACTAAATATAATCTTAATAAATTATGATTTCTTTTAGATTGTAAGCTACAGGCGGAAAAGTTATTCCGTTTTCATAGTTTTTATTACAATTACGAAAAATATTAAAAGAAAATTTTAAGAGAATAATATAAAAATGTGAAGATATATACATATATATA